ATGAAATTTTTTCTCTCCCATATTTCAACTCATCACTAGAAAATGAATTATATCCTTTCATCAGTTTGAATTTTTATTTTGCCCTTCGATTTTTGTATTACTTATCATACTCATGTTCTATATTATCTTTACTGTTTAAAAATATTTGTACGTATTAGTATGTGTAAAATAAGATTTTCCAAGTGAACTGATTTCATTGATAATATCTCTCTAATATATATACAAGTTGTACCTTTATAAGTAAGGAAACATATATGTACAATTTATTACAAATGATCTGACTGCTTTAACTAAGGAAAGATATCTCTATGATCTGATTACTATAACTAAGGAAACATATCTTTGTGATTTTGTAATATATACAAGTGATCACATAAGATCCTCCAATACTCCCCTCAAGTTGGAGCATGAATTGTGGAAATGCCTAACTTGGCCAACAATTTATGAAACTGATCATGACCAACAACTTTCGTGAGTATATCAGTCAATTGGTTCTGTGAAGATATAGGACGAGTCATGATCGTCTTTGACGGTACGTATTGCCGAATGAAATGACAATCTATCTCGATGTGCTTCGTACGTTCATGAAAAATAGGATTGACGGCGATATGGATAGCAGCTTGGTTATCGCAGAAAAGAAAAATAGGTTCTGCATGTGTTACTTGAAGATCTTGTAGAAGTCGAAGTAACCAAATAATCTCACTGGTAGTAGTGGCCATGGCTCTATATTCCGCTTCAGCAAAGGAACGAGAAACCACTATTTGTTTCTTAGAATTCCAAGAAATAGGTGATTTGCCAAGAAACACAATGTATCCTGTAGTTGATCGCCGTGTCATAGGACACCCTGCCCAATCTGCATCGCAGTAAGCTCTTATAGTTAGAGAATCATCCGAAGGAAGTAGAATCCCTTGACCTGGATTTTCTTTGAGATAGCGTAAAACTCTATAAGCAGCTTCTAGATGAGGTTGTCTTGGTGCATGCATGAATTGACTAAGTATATGAACAGCATAGCTAATATCTGGACGAGTGATAGTAAGGTAAAGCAAGCGTACTACAAGATGACGATATTGCCCTGGATCATTACAAACTTCGCCAGAATCAAGAGAAAGCTTATGTTGTTGCTCCATGGGGAAGCTAACCGGCTTGCAACCTGTGAGTTCACTTTTTGCTAAAATATCAAGTACGTACTTACGTTGGGTTAATGAAATGCATGCTGGTGACCTTGCCACTTCAATACCAAGAAAATATTTGAGCTTTCCAAGATCCTTGATATGAAATTTTGCATTTAAATGATCTTTCAGCTTGGATATGCGATCATAATCATTTTTTGTAATGATGAGATCATCCATATATATAAGAACCGCAACATAATATCCTCCAGGGGGACAATATAAACAAAGAATAGACTGCATGTGATTGCTGAAAACCAAGGGAAAGTAAAGAAGTAGTAAACTTATGTTACCAATTTCGAGATGCTTGACAAAGTCCAAATAGAGATTTTTGTAATCGACAAACTCTCTGCTCCCCCTCTTTTGCAAAACCTTGTGGAATCTTCATGTAGACTCCTTCTTCCAAATCTCCAAGTAAAAAAGTATTGTTGACATCTAATTGATAAAGTTCCCAATTCTGAATCGCAGCAACCGCTAACAAACAACGTACCGTGACAATTTTTGTAACAAGTGAAAATATTTCATGAAAATCAACCCCTTCAATCTGAGTGTATCCTTTTGCTACCAAGCGCGCCTTGTAGCGCTCAATACTTCTATCGGGTTTATATTTCACTTTATAGACCCATTTTGAGTCTATAGCTCGTTTACCTGGAGGAAAAATCTACAAAGTCCAAGTATGATTGGCTTCTAAAGCAGAAATTTCTTTTGCCATGGCCTATCTCCAATATGTGTGCTTAACTGCTTGAGTAAAAGATTTTGGCTCATCGGTGGATGAAATGGCCGCCAAAAAAATAGCATGATTGGAGGATAGTTTAGAATATGAAGTGCAGTAAGATAAAGGATGTACCGTTGAGTTGGCCGATGGAGTAGATAAGAGAGGTTGATCATTCAACTTAGCAAGAGAAGGGGGCAAAACATAATCATATCCTGACAACTTTTGTGAGACTTGTCACGAGCATTTACCAAGTGCAAGGCTAGGAGGATCAATACTATCAAATGTATTAGTAAGATTACTACTATCAGTTGGTGGTGGTGGAGAAGTGCTTGTGGATGTATATTCTGAATTCTCAATGACACTACAATTCTCAACGGTAGTATAATTCTCATTCGTCTCATGTTGCTCTATGTAATTTGGTTCTTGTCCAGATGGCTCATCAAATGTAATTGGTTGACTCAAGTCAATATGTGGCATAATCTTTGTCTTTTCAGAACCTTCAAAAGGATAAATGTGTTCAAAAAATTGGACATCGCGTGAAACGTAAATCTTTTTATCCTCAAAATCATAAATTCTATATCCATTTTGACCGCTGGGATACCCAACAAAATGTCTCGCTTTGATCAAATTTATCTCGAGGCTTGCTATTCATATGTCCATAACAGAGACATCCAAAGTTTCTCAAATGATCATATGTAGGTACTTTACCAAGTAGCCTCTTATGTGGGGTTGTATTTCATAGACTAGAAAGAGGCATTCGATTAATTAAATATGTTGCAGTAAGGACACATTCTCCCCAAAACTTGATGGGCAGATGCGCTTGAAATCCCAATGCACGAGCCACTTCCAAGAGATGTCTATGCTTCTGTTCGACTACTCCATTCTGTTGTGGAGTATATGTACAACTACTTTGACGTTCCATCCATAATCAAAATAATGTGACACTAAATCTTCATACTTAAATTCTAGTCCATTGTCTGTTCTTAGGATTTTAACTCGCAAGTTGAATTGCCTGTTTACCCAATTGAAAAATTGTAACAAATAGGCTTTAGTTTTTGATTTATTCTTCATGAGAAAAACCCATGTTGCTCGACTGAAATCATCAACTATAGTGAGAAAGTAATGAGATCCAGAAAGAGATTGTGTCTTGTATGGCCCCCGTGTCAACTATCCACTACTCTTTTATCTTACCTGAAAATTTAGATGCTGCCACATTTACTGATGGGTTACCTGTAGAAGCTCCCTGGTTTCCCAATAGTGCTAGTAGTTGCTGGTGTTGAGCATATGTCAAACCTGGGATTGGTGACATAGGCCCTTCAGTAGTTGCAACCAGGGCCACACCTGTAGTGGATTTGATTCCCTCTGATATTTCTGATGCGCACGAGACTGCACCTGATCATTTTTGGTCTGGTTGCTATTTTTCTTGCCTGGTTTGCGCCAATCTGAAGGATATCCAATTACTTTGAAGCAATAATCTTTGCTGTGATTTGTTCTCCCACAATGTATACAAGGTGGAAATTGATACTGAGTCCCATCTTCAATTTTCTTTTGTCGTGATTCAACCCCTTTAGTCAGCAAGGCAGTTGCTTCAATAGTGGGTGTGCAATTTGCGGCAACAGACCTCCGTTTCTCTTCTTGAGCCGTGATAGCATAGGCTCTTCCTAGGTTTGGCAATGGGTGGACGCTTAATATTTGAGAACGCACAATTGAATATGTGTCATCAAGTCCCATTAGAAAATCAAAAACCTTTTCCTCCTCCCTCATGGATTGCATCTTCTTTGTTGCACCGCAACTGCAACCACATGTGTAAGACGGAGTTGGCAGAAGACCTTGCAACTCACCCCAAATGGACTTAAGTTTACCGTAATAGGATGAAATAAAAGCTCTCTCTTGTTGCAAGAGAGTTATGGCACACTTCAATTCATAAAATCTTGGTGCAATTCCTTGAGTAAATCGTTCTTCCAGATCTACCCAAATTTCTCTGGCAGTTTCGACATGTGTGGCACTGCCTTGCAATCCCTTGGCAATTGCATTTGTAAGCCATGAAAGTACAATGGTGTTGCATTGTATCCGCGACTGAAAATCCTGAGAGTTTTCTTTCGGTCTCTTGATGGTCACATCAACAAATCTAGCTTTGTTTTTAGAGTGCAGTGCATTCAAAAAACTTCGTCTCCAAGTGAAATAGTTTTCTCCATTTTCACTAAGAGAGTTGGTAACGAAAATCAAACCTGGGTGATCGGATGGATGCAAGGAATAGGGAGAAGCATCTGCGACTTTGAGTTGAGGCAGACATGCTTGTTCTCCAATGCCTTTATCAGTGCGTCCTTTTGTCCCCATGGCTGAACAAATAAAATCTCAGCCCCTTGTTCTCTAATATACAAGTGATCACATAAGATCCTCCAATAGCATGAGTTGGACTAGTATATATATATTCGCTTTGGTCCTTGGACAAAATATTGTGCTATGTTCGGACCTTAATGACGAAACTGCTTTAAATTTGCCTACACGAAAAAGAGTGTTTTTTCTCGAGTACAAAATATGCTACAAGAACAATGGCTGAGGATGACTAGTCTGTTCAGACGTCACATGTTTGCTAAAGCTAAAACTGGAACTTAGCTTCTCACCAACTACATCAGAAGCAAAATCCTCTACTTCATATACAATGCGAGTTGGAACGGAGTTGCCTTAGCGTCTGTGGTGTGCATAGGCCAGGACGAGTGAGGATAAACCTACCTACCAAGGAAAGGGCCAGATCTTGATGTAGAAAGGAGCTGTCCAGCTGAGGCGGAGAAGCTTGACAAATAATGAGAAAATCAAGCCTAGTTGAAAAGGCTTGCCGTTACAAAGGCACAACGCCTCCACCCCCTCACAACGGTAAGTTTTCTTCTCTTTCCTGAAAAAGTATATGCAACTGGCAAACAAACCGAAGAGACGGAGAGAAGAAAAAACAAAATAAGCTGCAGCAACCAATATACAAAAAGTTTAGTGGGTTCAACTTTAAAATTTTACCAAAGTTGAACCAGTCAACTTTCAGTTAATATTTACTCTCAGATACACAATGAGAAAACCTAGCTTCAATGCTTCATCTTCAGTTCAAATAGAGGGAATAAAACACATTCCAAAAAAATGCTTTGAATATTTTCTTTCCCTGTTCGTAGGAAGCATTAGATACAAATGAGAAGAATGAGAGATCTCTGGAAAGTTAAAATTAATAACAATCTAATCTGTTTCCAAAATTAAGACCTTTGGCAACCTCAAAGAAGTGAGCTACATTTTCCCTTGTTCATAGGAAGAATTACATGCAAATGAAAAAAATGCGCCGAAGAATGAAAGACCTCGTGGAAAATATGGAACAGGTTAAAATTGATAACGATCTAATCTGTTTCTAATACCTAAGACCTTTGGCAACCTCAAAGAAGTGAGCCACATTTTCCTCAGGTGTACCAACTTTGATGCCGTGTCCAAGGTTCAAAATATGTTTCCCTCTGCCAGCTTTCTTCACGGTATCGTTTATCCTATTGGTAATAAATTCTTTTGAGCCAAAAAGCACTCCAGGATCCACGTTACCTTGTACAGCCACATTTGGACCCAGTCGTCTCCTACCATCAGCAATATCAACTGTCCAGTCCAAGCTGACCACATCAACCCCTGTCAAGAGTAGTCTCTCAAGCAAGCCACCTGATCCACTTGCATAAAGAATCAGCGGAAGATCAGGATGGGTTAGTTTCACTGAATCAACTATCTGTTTTAAGTAAGGCAAACTGAACTCTTCAAAATCGACTGGGCTTAGCTCTGTGGCCCATGAATCAAAGATCTGTACTGCTTGAGCACCATTGTCAGCTTGATAACGGATATACTTAGCCATTGAGGTCGCAAATTTTTGAAGCAGTGCATGAAGGACCTACATGTCGACAACAATTGATAACATTGCAACATAAATTGGCAGAGCATAAGCTAGTGATAAAATGTTCAAAAAAAGGAGAATTGATACAGGGAGTTGATTGACCCTGCTTTAAGTAGTAATCATAACCCAAGTATTCATTGATATAACCACATGAAAGGACATGTACTCACATGTATATCATGGGTGTGGAAATTTACATGCATAAAATTTATGCCATTTTCAATTTAATGCCACTTCCAAATATTGGTGATCACATGATCCAATGCAGAACAGGATTTGTCAAATGTTTCAGCAGTGTCTCTTTTTCTTTTCTCCCGGGCAGGGTGGGTTCGGAGGATGGATCTTCAGGTTGTTTTAACATGCAAAGTAAATTTTCAACAGGAAAAGGCTATTTTTCGTTTAAAAAGTCAGGTATCAATAACAATGGCATACAGTCCCTCAGGTTCAAAAAAATGGCAGCTTATTATTTCTAGAGTTATTGTTGTTGGCTTCCAGCAGAAAAGAAAGGAAATGAACCAACTGAATCTTCAATAGACTTTGTTTCACCATCTAAAACTTGCAACAAGCAATTAGACAAAAGAGCCCTGAGCTTAGCTTTCCCTTAAATTCACATTTCTCCTTTCTCCTTCCATCAGACACCTCTGAGTTTCCCCTTTTCTTGTCCTTCCATTTACCTTCTCGCATTTGCATAAAAAACAAATCTAAAGCCCAAGAAACCTTGGTGCTTAAAAAGATTTCTCATTTCTCCCTGCCCCTCCTATTTTCCCTCACCTCACAATTGTCAGTTCAAATTCTAGGAATCAAAACTTATTTGCCCCAAAAGTAGAACGTGCTCCATACCTTTTTCTTTTTATTTTCGGTTTAGAATATAACATAACATATTTAGTGCTCTCTAACAAGAGAGTAATTGACATAAGACAGTGCTTTTGTGATTCTCATTTATTCTTCCCCTGTTTCCATTTGATGAATTTCTTAATGCATTTACTTGGTTAGACCTCGATGAATGGGGCTTCATTCTTCAACTTGTGAGTTTGCTAGAGGTGACAAAGTACATGGCCGGTCTTTTGGCAAAATAAGAACAGAATTGCCACTTGCTCAAACTTGAGGGAGCTCAGTGGCAGCTTGCCAAACCATAGAAAATCCAGATGAAAACAACAGAAAGAAAAAGACCACATCAACATATCACCTACCTTTAGGAACTAGGCTAAGATGACTCGTTTGTGGTGGTAATGGTAAAACCCTCACCCTGCACTCCATAGCAGGAAGAAAAGGAAAAAAGCAGAAAAACATGCTCCTGTAACTGATTGAATTCAGTCATCAAATCACCAATGACAGCCTCCAAATATTTACCCCTGCCTTTCCCTCAACAGATATAAGTGTGACAACAAGAGGATCACTGTCTACAAATCAAGAACTCGGCAATCCAAAATCGTAACTGTTTCTGAGAGAAACTCCAAGCTGAAATGACTTTTTTATTGTGGTAAGGGATAAACAGAGCTAAGATGACTTGTTTTTGGGTGGTGACGGATAAAACCCTCACCCTACCTTCTATAGGAGAAAGAAAAGAAAAAAAAACAGAACAAACAATGCTCCTGTAGCCGATTGAATACATAAGTCATCATATAACCGATGACAGTCTCCAAATATCTATCCCCTCTCTTTCCCACAACAGATAGGAAGTGTGACAACAAATAGGATCAGTATCTACATATCAAGCTTTCTGCAATTTAAAATTGAAACTGGTTTGAGAGAAACTTCAAGCAATGGATGGTTGACATAAATCCTGCACTAAATTAAAATCGTACTGAATGTGAAATATCCATCAACATTGCTTGGGCTGTCCTAATACAGGAAGCAGGACCAGGGAATATCAATGGAAGATTCAATAAAAAGATCAGGATTGAAAACATAATATGATCCAATCAATTAAACAAACTATGATTGTCACAGTAGGGTTTAGTAACATAGAGAAGCAATAGTAAATTACCTTGGGCTCTGCAAAAGCTAATCTCTTAATTTTTGTGAAGTTCTTAGAGGAACCGCCTTCAATCACGTATGATGCCAAGGTAAATGGTGCCCCAACGAAACCCAGAACTGCTGCTTGATTATTGACCTAGCAAAGCAAAGATAAGTTCTAACACAATCAACATGGTAGCATACAGGTTATAGTAACAGTAATCAGGTTGTAACATTGTTGAATTTAAGCAAAGCCCAAAAGTTTTCTGTTACCCCCATTTCAATTTTATGGCATCATTCCAGTTCGCGGTTGACACTATGCTCCATATACAACTTTTACGATTTTCAAGAACTCAATTTATTAAACTAATCAATTTTTAAAATTTGATGTGATGCTTTCTCTATCAAAATAGACCCTTGTGGTCCGGCCCTTCCCCGGACCCCACGCATAGCGGGAGCTTAGTGCACCGGGTTGCCCTTTTTTTTTTATCAATAATAAATATAAGCCATTAATATCGTAAGTTCCATATTCAGTGTATTAACAGTTGGAGTATAATTTTACAACATTTTGCCCAAGGATCTCATACAGTGACAACCGTTAGTAGAGATGCTGAATCTTTCTGTCTAGAGACTAATCAAATTACAGTTTATATCACATGAACTGTCCATAGTACAGTCAGACTTCTCTATAACAGCATCCCTATATAACAGTCATTCACTATAAAAGCTAAGCTTTCCTCGGAACCGGTTTTTTAAGTTATATTTTACCTCTCTACAACAGCTTTTTACCTGTAACAACAACAACCATGTTTATAGCAGAACGATCTTTGTAAAATTAACCCTCTATAACAGCCATATAGAATCCTTAAGGTTACTAATAATAACTTTAAAAATATGCACACAATCTTTTCTATTGCACAAAGTTTCTATTTTGCACAAGATAAAAGATTTGAAGATTTGCACATAATATCTTTTTCACTGGACAAATGCCAAAAAATATTTAGATAAAAGATTTAACTGTTAAGCTCTTAGATTCTCTTCAAGTAAAAGCTATTGAATACCTTTTTTCTGAAAATTTGGATACGAATCTTTGCCAACTCAAACGTTATATCGCTAGTAAGAGAATGAAATCTACGAAACAAGTTACAATTACAAAGTTCTTCCATTAATCTGGAAAGAATTTATTTTTCTAAGTAGCTTTAAATGTGTGCCTTAGAGTTTAAATCTTTATCATTTAGTTATGAATTTATGAATAATATGTTAGCTTTCTTCAATATTTAACTAGTTAAATACGCATATCTTTTGAAATTTTAAATTTGAATAATTTTTTTATTTTTTATATGTAACATTAGAAAAGGATAAATAATTGATCTTTGGATAATTTTATTTATAACGGCCAAAAAATATTTAAACGTCAAATGCCGTTATAGGTGTATAACAGCCATTCCCTATAAAAGCCAAAAAATATCGGAACAAACGAGGTTGTTATAGAGAGAGTTGATTGTATTTAGCAAACAAAACACTGCTCTGCAAGTTTAAGTTCTTTTACTTTGAAGATCTCAAACTACTAACATATGCAGCTATTTCAAACATCATCATACATGAATTTTCAGAAGGAAGCAATAAGCTTCTCCTCTTTGGAGGTTAACAAAATCCCTCGACTTATTTCCACCTCAGGTATTTCAACATAAAAAAAAGAGAAAAATGCTCCTTAACAGAAAACCTCCAAGGTTCATATATATTAAAAATAAAAAAAACAAAGAGCAAACCTCTTTCCGCAAAATTGTTAATGCTTCTCCGACATATGGAACTGATTCTTCAGGAATGAATTCTCTAACTTTCTCAACATCAGTAGCTGTTCTCGGTGGATCAAATATGACAGGACCCTTCCCCTTTATGATGTCAAAAGGGATGTTCATTCCAGAGAGCGGAGTAAGAATATCTGAAAACAAAATGACCTGCCAACATGAGGAAAACCATTCAGAGCAAACCAATAATCAATAATAGAGCTAAGATGATAGCTTGTGATAAAACACCCAAAGATGGGGATACTGCTCTGGTAAAAAGTAAAAATAATGAAATATCTAACAATAAATGCAACACCAAACACATGCCGAGATAGGACTGCAATAAAGTTTCTTACCCCATCAGGCTGGAATACTTTCCATGGCTGTAGAGAAATTTCTACCACCAGATCTACATTTTCTGATCTCTCACGGAAGGATGGATGCTTCTCACAAAGGATTTGATAACTCTACACAAAAGAAATGCTGAGTAGTAATTAGATGGAAAATGAAATGATCTGAAAATTTCTAATGCAAGTGTAGAAAATAGATCCACATAAGAAATCATGAAGATCAAGCCTTAAAACTGCTAACATAGAATTCAAAAACAAAGGCAGCAGAACTAGAGCTTTGAAAATTCTTAAGCTTTATGATCCGCACACTCTGTCGTCCTACTTGAAGTTTAATGAAACAACAACAACAACAACAACATACCCAGTAATATCCCACATTGTAGGGTCTGGGGAGGGTAGTGTGTACGCAGACCTTACCCCTACCTTGTGAGGATAGAGAGGTTATTTTCAATAGACCCTCGGCTCAGGAAAGCATAAGCACCACATTAATGAAAATATAGACAAGAAGGGACAGTACCAAAAAGCCATATAAAAGCAGTAAAAAACAATAAGACAGTAAGGTGATCAACAATGAAAGAAAACAACGATTAGTCATAAAAACCCACTACTAACAGAAAGCGAGACTGCGTGCCAATATTAATGTTACGAACACTCTAAACTACCTACTCTAGTACCCTAATACTCAACTTCCATATCTTCCTATCAAGGGTCATGTCCTCGATCTGCTGAAGTTGCGTCATGTCTTGCCTAATCACCTCTCGCCACTTCTTCTTTGGCCTACCTCTACCTCTTCGTAAGCCCTCCAATGTCAATCTCTCACACCTCCTCACCGGTGCGTCTGTGCTCCTCCTCCTCACATGACCAAACCACCTAAGCCGCGTTTTCCGCATCTTGTCCTCAATAGGGGCCACACCCACCTTGTCACGAATAACCTCATTTCTGATCCTATCCAACCTGGTGTGCCCGCACATCCATCTCAACATCCTCATCTCTGCTACCTTCATCTTCTGGATATGAGCGATCTTGATTGGCCAACACTCAGCCCCATACAATATCGTTGGTCTGACCACTACTCTGTAGAACTTACCCTTAAGTTTCGGTGGCACCTTCTTGTCACACAAAACCCCGGAAGCGAGTCTCCATTTCATCCATCCCGCCCCAATACGATGTGTGACATCTTTATCAATCTCCCCATCCCCCTGAATAATAGACCCAATGTACTTAAAACTCCCTCTCCTAGGGATGACCTGCGAGTCCAGCCTCACCTCCCCTTCCCCTCCTTGAGTCTCGCCCCTGAACTTACACTCCAAGTATTCTGTCTTACTCCTGCTCAACTTGAAACTTTTAGATTCCAGGGTCTGCCTCCATACCTCTAATTGCACGTTCACACCGTCTCGCGTCTCGTCAATCAGTACAATATCATCTGCAAAGAGCATCCACCACGGCACCTCCCCTTGGATGTGGCGCGTCAGTACGTCTATCACCAGAGCAAACAAAAAAGGACTGAGTGCCGACCCCTGATGCAACCTCATCATAACCAGAAAATGGTCCGAGTCCCTAACCACCGTCCTCACTCGGGTCTTTACTCCATCATACATGTCCTTAATCAACCTAACGTAGGCAACCGGTATACCTCTAGGGAGGTTTTGTGGAGATATTTGGAGGCTAGAGGTAGATGGCTTCTGTAGTCGAACGCCCCGGCATAAACCCAAACTGGTTCTCGGAAATAGACACACTCCTCCTCACCCATAGCTCTACCACTCTCTCCCAGACTTTCATAATATGGCTAAGCAGCTTGATACCCCGATTGTTATTGCAATTTTGGATATCACCCTTGTTCTTGTATACAGGAACCATCGTGCTCCACCTCCACTCGTCAGACATCTTCTTCGTTCTAAAAATGATATTAAATAACTTAGTGAGCCACTCCAAGCCTGCCTTGCTCGCACTCTTCCAAAACTCCACCGGAATTTCATCCGGCCCGCTTTGCCCCTACTCATCTTACGCATAGCCCCCTCAACTTCATCAACTCTAATCCGCCTACAATACCCAAAGTCACAACGACTCCCGGAGAGTTCCAAATCATCCAGTACAATGCTCATGTCTCCCTCCTCGTTCAAGAGACTATGGAAGTAGGTCTGCCATCTCCGACGGATAAGCCCCTCATCCAACAAAACTCTACCTTCTTCGTCCTTGATGCAATTCACTTGGTCCAAGTCCAGCGCTTTCCTTTCTCGCGCCTTGGCTAACCTGAACAATCTCTTATCCCCGCCTCGGCCCTCGAGTTCCTCATACAAATGACTAAAAGCTGCACTCTTGGCCGCCGTAACTGCTAGCTTTGCCTCTTTCTTAGCCAACTTATAATGCTCCTTATTCGCCCCCTTCTCCTCCTCGTCTACACTTTCCACTAGCTTCAGATACGCTGCTTTCTTGGTTTCCATTTTCCTTGCACTTCTCCATTCCACCACCAGTCTCCCTTGTGACCACCAGAGTAACCCTTTGAGACCCCTAATACCTCTCTAGCGGCTTCCCTAATGCACTGCGCAGTCGTGGTCCGCGTAGCGCTTGCGTCCCCACTAGTCCTCCAAGCCCCCTAGTCACCAGCTTGACCCCCAACTCCTGCACTTTAGCTTCTGTCAAGGCTCCCCACTTGATCCTATGTTGACTATACATCGCCCCCTTCCTCCTCTTCCTCGTGATCTCAAGGTCCATGACAAGGAGCTTATGAAGGATCGAGAGATTCTCACTCGGGATGACCTTGCAATCCGTGCAAAGACCTCTATCGGACTTCCCGCAGAGTAAATAATCAATCTGAGTCTCGCCCACCGAACTCCGAAAGGTGACCAAGTGCTCCCTCTTCTTCGGAAAACTCGAGTTTGCTATCACCAAATCAAATGCTCTAGCAAAGTCCAGCAGAGACGTTCCTCCTCCGTTTCTATCTCCAAAACCAAAGCCACCATACACATCATATTATCCCCCAGACGTCGCTCCAATGTGGCCGTTGAAATCTGCTCCTATGAAAAGCTTCTCGGTATGCGGGATACCACGAACTATCTCATCCAAATCCTCCCAGAAACGCCTCTAGACTTCCTCATCCAAGCCTGCTTGGGGTGCGTACGCACTGATTATGTTCAAAGTAAAACCTCCAACAACTAGCTTAATAGCCATCAGCATGTCATTCACCCTCCTAACCTCCACCACTAGTTCACGGAGGTCCTTATCTACCAAGATACCTACCCCGTTCCTGCCCCCCACCCTCCCAGAATACCAAAGTTTGAAACTGTCCACATCCCACGCCTTATCTCCTACCCAAATATGAAACATCCAACAAATATGATTCACATAGTTCCAAACTTTTTTCCTATTTTACCAGCCCTTCTCTTTTCTCCTAAGTTTCAAACAAAGCAGAAAGATAAAGCCATTACCTTCTCATGCAAGCAGCTGATTAGTAGAGAAAATGCATCTCAGGTACATCAATTAGTAGGTGTGAGTATATAATGTCATATCCCTAAAGACGAATTTTTAAGTTATCTATTCGAAGTCATTTAGGCGAAAGATTATTTTTAACATAATACATCATCTCTTGCAGAGCGGATAACATCAGTAAGTCAAAATTTGCAGCATGGAATGCAGGTAAGATCTTTCAGAGAAGTTCAAAATATACTCAAAGTTAAAACAGAACTATAAACCTGCCTTCATATACCTCCCTGCTTGTCTCATAAGCCAAACAGGAGGCCTTTCTACTTCTTTACCCCTAACAGCATCAAGCAACAAAGGCTCAGTTGCATTTATAGCTTTTGGTTCAGCAACAGTTCCTGGAAATTAAGAGCAGCATCAATCACGCGACCATGTAAAAAATACAATAATTATATTTAAAATATTGAAAAATTAGAAGGTTTCTAGTCCTGAGAGATAAGCACATTAAATCCAACGTGCACTGCAACAACACAAGCATGCAAGAGACACTAGCCACGGATTCAGTACAAGGAGAATTTAAAGGATATGTAGGTTTATCTTTAATAGCTCACTGTTTGACGATAGGACATTGCTCATTCATTTAGCTTGTTGTAGAAAAGAGTACGAGAAATATTCAGTGATGAAAATTATGCTCATTTCCCATTGAGTTTGACTAATATGTTATTCCAACCTAGTTGAAAAGTTTTGATGAAGTTTGACCTAGTTGAAAAGCTAGAGATGTAATTGCCTACAAAAATATGGAAACAAGTAGCTTTAGCTTTTTATTAGGTAATTCCGTTATTGATTAGGATGGGTACGCAACACTTTGTGTAATGTATATCATCTTTAAAGAGTAGGCTATAATGCACTATAGTACCCTAAACTCGACCTAGCAATTTTCCCCTCAAACTATTTTCCTTAGCATTTTCGTCCATTGACTCACTCTGTAATGGTCTCCTTTTTTAAGGTGGTAGCTAAATCTAACATAAACCTTTGGATCCATTTTCTCCTTGTGATTTTTCCAATTACCTATCTCTTTTGTAGCGTTATCACTATATTTTTCCCATTTTCTGGTTATCCTTTTTTTTCTCCTTCCATCACCATAATGCTTCTATCATTCTTCATCCTCTTCTCCCAATCAAACTAACCATTATTTTGACTTGTTATTGAAATATTATAAACTTGTGATTTTATTAAGAATTAGATGGTTTGTGCTAATTCCACATAAGATATTATTTGTACAGACCACTATATAATGGCACGTACAATTAAACGAAGAGACCCTGTATCCTTGAAATTAGTGGAGGACAATTACCGGATTAGATTCGTCTTTTGTTGAATTTATTTTTGACCTGAAAAAAATACTGTCTTTTGTTGAATTATACTTACCTTGTTTTAGTATTTATTTATTTTGAAGGCATAAGCTTTGACATCTTTTTTCAACTTTTTTGTTGTATTAGCTTCATTTATGCCATTGTTTGCTCAACATGTGTGATTATTCTTCCTTGGTTGTACAAGAGAGATGGGTAGGTTTTGTATTTGAACAAGTCTTTCGAAAATTTCTTCATTATCAACTACACATCAATCGCAAACTAGTAGGACTTTGCTATATGAATCTTCACTAACCATTTCGCTCTAGTCAGGCACATTCATGACAATGCTAAATTGTCTGTCTTTATGGCAAACCAGGAATTCATAAAGAGAGGCGCTCTAATCTCACAATTATCCCTACACATGCCAAACTATTAAAAGAAACCTCTGACAATTCTGAACTCAATGCAAGTGTAACACAAAATATATGTCTTAAGTTGAAATAGGTGGTACTTGGTATTGCCTATATGAATCCTTTGCATTCTATTGTTAGCTAAGACCACATTGACCGCGAGAGTTTGTAGCTCTTCTGATACAACTTCCCCCAAGTGAATTTTCTTACGCATTCCCATTTTGTCCTTCCAATTATAAGCTTGTGACAGCAATGGTCTGATGCATTTTGATGTAAACCTAAGACTTGGACAAACCATCTCAGGCTACTTCAAAAAATTCCTTAGTCACCAGATTTTCTGCTAAGACCACATTCTATTGTTAGCTAAGACCACATTGACCGCGAGAGTTTGTAGCTCTTCTGATACAACTTCCCCCAAGTGAATTTTCTTACGCATTCCCATTTTGTCCTTCCAATTATAAGCTTGTGACAGCAATGGTCTGATGCATTTGGATGTAAACCTAAGACTTGGACAAACCATCTCAGGCTACTTCAAAATTCCTTAGTCACCAGATTTTCTGCTAAACAAAAAGCAAGAGCCTAAATAAATCTCTTTCCAAGGACGACCAAAAAGGGGAAGATAGCACAATGTTTAAAGAGTTGGAGGAAAATAACAACAACAAACAACAACAAACCAAGTGTAATTCCATAAATGGGGTTTGGGGAGGGTAGTGTGTACGCAGACCTTACCCCTACCTTATAAAGATAATGAGGCTGATTATGATAGACCCTCGGCTCAAGGAACAATAGAGATAAGATAAAGCAACCAAGTAGCAAACAATGGTGACAACAATGTAATATGGTGACGAGCGCGAATAACACATCAGGTAATAATAAAGAACCATGACTAAGATAATACAAAAATAGTCCTAGTACTACTGGTAAGCCTAGGAGGAACACACTACTAACTGTCAACCTACAACCCTAATCCTCGACCTCCACACCTTTCTATCGTGGGTCATATCCTCGGTAAGCTGAAGCAATGACATGTCATGCCTAATAACATCTCCCCAATACTTCTTAGGCCTACCCCTTCTCTTCCTCAAAGTTTTAGCAACATTTAAGATCCAAATGGAGTGTTGCTATATGCTTCTTGATCATCAAATACATCAAGGAGATGCATATCATCCTACGTTTGAGAAATACGCCGCTAAGGCCCTCGAATTACGGATAACAAATCGGAGGGAAGAATCAAGGGATAAACAGAGTTGTAACCTGCAATGTTTATCAATAAAAAAAAATTCTTTATAGTTGTTTGTGATTGCAGTTTTATTTTTCTGCACAAATTTATTGCAAACAAATTGGCACGCCCAGTATGACCAGTTCTGCCATCTCTTCCTCCAGCATAACATCAAGTTTCAAGATTATCTGTTGTGATGGTCAGGTATTTCAAGTCTTGTCTTCATGTTTCAGCAAGCCTATACCTCGACAAACCTTGAAGTAGGAAGCATTTGTAGACACTGAAATTTTAACAGATCAAGATAAATCCTAAATTCAAGATGACTATTGAAATATTAGGAGTGTATTAGGGTTACTTGGTGGCTACTCCACCCAAACCTTAATTCATGCCTATAAATAAGGCTATATATGTCCTTCAAAGATAATCTCACCAATCCCATAATGTACAAAGAGATCGCATATACGATCTCGAAATTCCAAAAAAAATTCATGGAATATTCATTAGAGATCAAAGACATGTCAAATATGTCTTGCTCAAAGTTCCAGCAACATTCAAGATCCAAATGGAGTGTTGCTATATGCTTCTTGATCATCAAATACATCAAGGAGATGCATATTATCCTATGTTCGAAATACGCCGCTAAGGCCCTCGAATTACGAATAACAAATCGGAGGAAAGAATCAAGGGATAAACAGAGTTGTAAACTGCAATGTTTATCAATAAAAAAAAATTCTTTATAGTTGTTTGTGATTATAATTTTATTTTTCTGCACAAATTTATTGCAAACAGGGACTTCTTGACGGACCAGCACTCAGCCCCATACAACAGTTGAAGGAAAATAACGTATTTGAAAAATTGCTATGTATGTAAGTAGTTAATTTTTTTATTTTTTTTTTTAATTTTTTATTTAAACCCCTCCCAAATTAGGAGGATCTATAGTGTTTTCACACTTCCGCTCCAGTGTGACTCGAACCCAGGACCTAACGGTCGTGGGGGAGGTGCAGTAGTTAATTGAACAAATAGGTTTTCTTCAGCTTCAGTTAATCCATCATAACCAAGTTCTAGAGACTGCAATCCGCTGCACCATTTTGATGAATTTCGAAAAGCATATCTCATCATAACACAAGCCCTAACTTAGCCAAAATCCGGACCAAGGTATAACATATTAAGCTTTAACTAATAAACCATTCATAGAAATTACTAAACCATATATAAAGAAGATTCAGAAACAACAAATGAAAAACACATACAGATATCACCAATCACAAACAGAACGCGTTGTTCTGGTGAAATTAAGCTGCATTGAATGATTGAAAAATATAAGAGGAGCAATTAGAAAGTCAAAAGGCTTGAAATTATACCTCCGACGGAGCAACAGATTCTGGACTTGACATTACATCGAGAAGAAGAAGGAAATGCAGATTTAGATGAAATTGGGATTGCTGAGAAGGACGACAAGGAGCTGTAATTACAAGCCATGATTTCGGAGTGAAGTGAAAAAGGGGATTACGAGCGTCGGATGAAATTGCTTTGCATTTCAAACAGTCGGTAAACTGGGTTTTGGCCAACGAAAAGATAAAAAAATGGAGGAGTAAATGACAACGTAGATAACTTCAAGATAAGGTGGCAGGATATCTCAAATCTAATAATGGGTAAGCTTTGCGATTACTTCCAAGCTCTACTTTTCATTGTTACATTGTTCCTTTCCTCTTTCTTATTTTTTACTACTCCCTAGTCATCTTCATGTTCATTATGTGACACACTTTATCTATGAGTTAGTTTAAAATATTTTAATATTTAGAAAAATTTAACTTTGTACCTTTTTTACCTTCTTATGAAATCTAATTACACACATACTCAAGTTTCAAGTTAATTACATGATCATATATATTTTACCAATTATATATAAATAAGTTTTAAATGAGTATCCCTTTATATTATGAATTGAATAAGGAATATCAGTTATTATAATTGCCCACTCTCTCTCTGTCTCTCTCTTCGTTTCTCGCTGTCTCTCTCTCTTGCAAAGCCTAAAGATTCACTTCGCATTAGTTGGTCATATGTCTCTCTCTCTTGCAAAGCCTGAAGACTCATAAGGATTTGATTATATTAGTTTATATCGCTTTAGTTGGTTATATCAGTATATGATTTGAAAAGACGAATGCTCAAGGAAGTTAAAATTGCAAAGCATGAAGATTCACTTCGCTTTAATTGGGCTATAACATATGCGGAAACTTTAATCTCTCCTAATTCTCTGTAGAATTATAAATTTTGAAGGTGTTTGACTCTCCACCGTTGACAGCCATTAAAAAGCTTTGAAGCTTTGAAATCGAATTTGGGTTTTCAAAAATCATTATTTGTTTGGATTGGGTATTGTTGCAAACAATTGGGATTATTGTTTAGAGTTTATATCTTAATTTTGAGGATGTTTTGGTGAAGATTAGACTTGATTTTGGTTGAATTTCATATTGAAACTAGAAGAAGAAGAAGAAGAAGAAGAAGAAGAAGAAGAAGAAGAAGAAGAAGAAGAAGAACNNATTGTAGTAAAGTTGTAGTATAATTGTATGTAATTTGTATTCTGTTGTAGTTATATATTTTTTTTTATTTGAATGTAGTATGAAAGTTGAAAAATAGTTGTATAATCTATGAATCGTTATATAAAATTTGTATTTAAGTTATCAATACTATCTTTTTACATAAAATTGTTGATATGTATTAAAATTGTATTAAGAGAGTAAGTTTTGATTGGAATTTTAGAGAGAAAGATGCACCACAGACAAAATACATACAAATCAGATACAAAATATATACAAAAGACATATTGTATAAAATTTATATAAAAATTATAGTTAAGTTGTATTTAACTGGGTAGAAATAATGTATGAAAGTTGTAAATAAGTTGTAAATAAGTTGTATAATATATAATTAGTTGTATGAAATTTATTTTTCCTATGTATAAATCAGATACAAAATATACAAAAGACATATTGTATAAAATTTGTATAAAAATTATGTTTAAGTTGTATGATATTGTAGTTGTATTTAATTATGTAGAAATAATGTATGAAAGTTGTAGATAAGTTGTATAATATATAATTAGTTGTATGAAGTTTGTTTTTACTATATATGTTGTTGTAGATATTCAAATTTGCATTAAATTTGTACGAAATTTATTTTTAATTTGTATGTTGATGTACCATACATTGTTCTTTTTCTCAATTGATTTATTAAAGAAAGAAAAATAGAGAATGAATTCCAAATCGACTCATGTGCGCTGATTCATATTTGTTTGAACAGAAAAATTTGAATATTGATGGGAACTGAATGATTTGGATGGAGAAAGAGGTAAGTTTTTTATGCCGTGGTTGATTGTTTATTTATTCTAGAAAGAGGTAAGTTTCGTGGTTAACCTTGACTTGAGGAAAATAAGGTAGAATCGAGTCTATTTGTTATGTGAATTAAACGTTGGGGGTAGTGTATATGCAAGGTGATGAGTATATATGCGCAGGCCATGGGATAAGCATGCGGGTGGAATTTCCTTACTTGTACTATGTTAACTTGCTTATTGTGTCTTCCATGCCTTAAATAGACTGTTTATTAATTTTTTGATTACTCGCTTTCAAGTTACTTCTTATATTGAAATTATTGTGATATTGGGTGTTGAGCCCCAGACCGCAGCCACTACCAGGGGTAGGGTCCTGGGCCGAGTTAGAGCCAGAGCTCAGCCTAGAGCACGTGCAGAAGCACCAATTGCAAAGCCTCAGCTAGAGTAGGATGATGGGATCCCTGTTCCGATCGAGCCAGTTGGACCAGCTCAGGTCCTAGAGGGGTTCATTGCTACCCTAGTGCTTCAGGACGCCCTAGTCTGCTTGGTTGGCCTAATGTAGAGTATGGCCCAAGCCGGTGTGTTCTCTATGACACCATTCGTCTCTCAGGCTGGGGGAGTAGCCCAGACTCCCCTACTCATACTCTAGAAAAGATGGCTCATGGATATCAGACTCCGACAGTTCCACCAATTGGAGCAGTTCATCCTATTATTGCTACACAACCCTAGGAGAGATCCGCGATGTCAGCCAAGGGGATGAAGAGGTTGGACAAGTTCACCAAGTTGTTTCCCACTCGCTTTGAGGGTACACCTTCTGAGGACTCCCAGAAGTTCTTGGACTATTGTCATGAGGTATTACACAACATGGATATAGTGGAGTCTAACGGAGTTGACTTCATAGTGTTTCAGATGCATGGCTCTGTGATCGCGTCCAAATGCACACCTCTAAAAAGGTATGAAACGACCGTATGCATTTATAGTAACCCAATGAAGAGTCGGGGTCGAATCCACATGGAGCTAGATGGAAGTTAGGGGTATATATTCTAATGCATGGAATTGAATTATCTCAATTTGCACTTCCACAAAAAAGGTTTCGCTTCTATTTCTAATTTTATACTAAAGTTTGCAGAGTAAAGAAATAAGACTAGGATAGTTGTTTTTGATGTTTTTCAAATTGGTAAAACGCTTAGGGCTATCAACTCTCAATTACCCACTCAATACCTCTCGGTCAGAGAGTGGTTTTGCCCAATTTGGCTTTCTCAAGACCAAATGGGTATTACAAAAACAGTTGACAAAAGCTCAAGTCGGGTTATTACTATCTCCAGGTTGAACTCTTTAATTGGGTTAATCAATCTCTCGATTGACCCAATTCCTTGTTAGCCAAATTTTGCTAGACTAAGTCTCTCTTTCTCAAGTAGAGACTAAGTCGAATAGGCATGAACCAATATTTGCAACCATTAATTCCACAAATTAAAGCATGAACTAGGCTAAATAACAAATACACGATCATAAACAAGCACTAATTTAATTATCCATAAGGTTAACACACTAGGGTTGGGTCACAACCCTAGTAAAAATCTAGCTACTCATGCTTGGGGTTGAAGAAGAAGAAGAAACACTAATTAAACTCATAATATAAGTTTAAAATAATAAAATCTATTGTAAAATACATCAAAATATAGTAAACTTCCAAAAGAAGCAAAGAAAAACGGCTACAGTACTTGCTGATGTCAAAACTTAACCTAGTTTTGTGAAACTCTTCTATTTATACGAGTCTAAAAATCTCAGACAAAAATGTCCCTCGAGAGGTTCTGCGGCCGCACAATTCCATGTGCGGTCCGCAGATGTCTTCGTCTTGCAGGAGCTGGGATTCTGTGACCGCACAATTTTGAACTGCGGCCGCGAGGTAATATTTCTACGGTCTGCAGATTTAGCACTGTGGCTGCAAAAAACTCTTTTGCAGTCCGCAATAGTATGATTACGGCCGCAAGATAATCTTCTGCGGCCACACAAATCTTGTGTAGACCGCAATTCGAGGAACTCTAGACTTGGCTTTTTTTTGTCAACTCTCTAATCTTGGATCCTAACCTAGCTTTTACGTCCACACAATTCATGTGCAGTCCGCAATTTGCTCAGAAGTCTGCTGAGTTTTTATTCCTTGATTGCGGCTGCAGATGGAATTCTGCGGACCGCACAATGTAAGCTTCTGTGCCTTTTATTGCCTTGTGTTTAGACTACTCCTTTTTGAGTCTAATTTCATCTCGGGAGTCCAACATCCAATATTCCTGCAATTTTGCACATTTCATTAGTTTCAGGAGCACAATTTCAATGCTTTTAGACTAAAACAAAAGCTAAAAGGCACTAACAAGTAGTCAAAATCCCCACTTATCAACTCCCCCAAATTTAAGTCTTTGCTTGTCCTCAAGCAAACAAAATAGTTCCTACCTCCACAATTTAAGGGTCATTTCAGCCAGTCAAAGGCGAGCCATTCACACATCAGTTGGGACCAACAATTACTCACAATACTTATGTATTATCAATAAGGAGACTAGTTAAATATTCATGCACATATAGTTCTAGTGTGACACTTGAGCATCAAGAGTTGAATTTATTCATCAAGGAAGCTCGCTCTTTCATGTAGGTCTTTATGGATCCCAAACTCCTCCTCCTCTACTCTCCGTTTGCATAGCTCACTTAAGAATTTTAGCACTCAATCCAAAGATTTGTGAAAGGTTCACTCATCTCTCTCAAGAGAATATCGCAAAGTACGACTTCAAGTACCATAGGCTTGCCCCTCATGTAGATCGCCACTAATGTAAGCTCACTCGGCTTGAAATCAAGTAGGGCATTTTTTGGAATGTAATGAAGGCTTTTGGATTAGTGTTGGATACACTATGGTTGAGTGGATTCACCTTTCCTTAAGCGTTCCCTTTTGTTATTCTCGGCTCACACTTTGCCAGTTCTTTGGGGCACTTTCTTTTCCTTGGGGAACTAGAGAGACTTAAAATCACTCTTTTTTTTTTATCATGACATTCATTTTCTCCTTCTTTGATTTCTCCATGTTTTGGATCATTACCTCTCTTTGAATCCCTTCAACTCTTCCACTTATTTTTTTTACATTTTTCTTTT